CAGTCTATTGGTCTTTGAGTGCTCACTATGATCAACACATTACTGGTTCATTCTACAGAAACTGCTCTTCTTAGTGTGTCCAGTGGCATTTTGTTGTAAAGTGATGCAGGAGAATGTTTCGTTTTGCTGATGTTAGACCTTACCTCTGCTTTTGATATTGTTCATATTTTGCTGAAGAGGCTCAGATATTAGGTGGGTGTCTGGTTCTCCTTTGCATCATTTCTACCTGAATGATGCTTTTCTGTGGCTGTTTCTAAGTACAGCTCCTTTGCCACTTCTCTTACATACAGTGTGCCACAAGATTCTGTTTTGGGGCCTTCTATTCACTCTGTAGCACATTTTGAGCACCTTTAAGGTATTTTTTTATTACTGCTATGCAGATGACATTCAGTTATATATCTGAGGTTCTTAGTAGGAAATTTGTCAGAAGCACAAACAGGGACTTCATTTTTTCTTGAACTCAATGAAAAAGCTGAAGTCCTTGTTGGTGCCCCTGACAGATTTGCTGCCTAAAGGCCCCTCGCCTCATCTTAAACTGTCAGAGCAACTGGTGTATCTCTACGAAAACTAAATAGGAAAAAAAGGAAACTCAATATTTTGACCACCCTTTTGCTTGACATGAACTGGAGTTAAGGATTTGGTTGCCAATCGATATTTAGTGTCATTGTAATTCAGGTCCCAAAGTCAAACGAATACTGAGAGTGAAAATGGTCTAAATTCTTTCATCTTTAATGAAATCATCAGCGTTGCTGCTTTACCAGGTGTAACAATTAAGTTTAACATCCAGGCATCCATGAAAACAGAATTTATTAAATTTAACGGAGTTAGAAGTTACAGGAAGTTAGCTCGCTAGTTTCCACCTAAACATTTCATACCATGTTCTGGCTGAGAGATTTTTGAAACTAATTAAAACGTACAGCTCTGCTACCACTTCCAAAATAATGAAGACAGAAAACTAAACAGCAGTGGCGTTTGCAGGGTTACTGAAGTTGGACTACCTGGTATATAATGTTGTGCTACGTGATTGCTAGCAACACAGCTATGTTAGCATAACATTAGCAGTGAAGCTGGCGGATGAACGCCAACTTTTTTTCCACTCGATAAAAGTTAACGTGAGGGATTCTGGTGGTTACAGACAAATGCAATCGCATAGCAGTGTGCTATACACGGGCCAAACTTCAGTCAGGAGAACAACTGAGATTATTCAACCACAATACAAGGTTAGTTATTAATATACTGCAACATAGAGCAGCTGCGAAGGAATTCAACATTAATGAATCAGTGTTACGGAAGCGCAGTTTTTGGCTTTCCCCATATTTCAAAAGTGCTTCATCTCTTTGCTATGACTCTCGCATAATTTGCAGATGATAATTGTTTTAGCCACTGCGACGCTTTCGACCAAAACAGGCGTAGCTTGATGACATCATCAACATGCGCTATCGCGATAGAGCGGTATAGTCAAAATCTCTATCGTTGGCCAAATTTATATCGTTTCTATCGTATATCGTTTATATCGCCCACCCCTAAAATTGTCATGCAGGCAGAATGGTCACTGTCCTCTTTAGTTTAAGATGCAGACCATGTTTTCCAAAAACAATTTCAAATTTTGATTCATCTGAGCACAGAACAGCTTTCCACTTTGCTTCAGTCCATTTTAACTATGTTTTTTTGGCCAGTGAAGATGGCGAAATTTCTGGATCATGCTGAGATATGGCTTCTATTTTATATTATAGAGCTTTAAAATGCATCGCCTGTAAAAACAAGAACTGTTTCCAGATACTGATTTCTACAAGTGTTTCTGAGCCCATGCATTCATTGGCATGACCGAATCATGCCCATTTTTAATGCAGTGGTGCCTCAGGGCCTGAAAATCATGAGCATTCAATATTGATTTTCAGCCTTGTGCCGTGCACAGATTCTGTAGTACTTATCATCTTCTTTTGATTGTATGTACTGTAGATGATGAGTACCCAAAGATCTTTGAGATTTAATGTCAGAAGATTTTTCTGAAATTGTTTCACAATTTGGAAATGCAGGTTTTTGCAGGTTAGTGAATCTGCAGATTATGACTCACTTTTGTTGATGCCATCAAGTTAAAAATGAGGAAATGTTTTTTCCTAAAATCGTATGTTTACTCATTTTAAAAACTTTTTTTAATATATATATATATTCCACTGTGAATAACATATGGATTCATGAGCCTCGCATTGATTTTTTTTTTTAACACTTTATACATTTTCCCAATTTCTGCAGAATTGAGGTTATAAAACAACAGGATAGTTTTCTTTGACCAAAACAATCATCTTTCCTACATAAGCTGCCAGTGTCACCTACAGCACATGGCCATATCAAACTATAATAATGTTACTGAGAAAAGATGAGTGAAAGAAGAGACGGGACGTAAGATGGTAGCAGAAAGTAGGTCAAGATAGAATGAGCTCACCAACTGGAGGCATGATGGGGGGAAGAGGGAAGAAAGGGAAAATAAAAGGCATTTGAAAAGGGAACCTGAATTGTGATGTGGAGAAAAAAAAAATGAAGGGATAGGAAAATATTGGATGAAGTAGGGGAACAGAAGTTGAAGCTCACAAAATGGATATACTTTTTTATACCCTGAAAAAGGATAGAAATATGAATTTGAAGGAGAGAATATCTAAAGATTTCTTTGGGATATGATGGGGAGAGGATGAAAGGTGCGAGATGGAAGAAGGGATTGGAATGCAGGAGCAGAGACAGCGTACTTGTGGAAAATGAGCTGGGAAAATACCTGGGTATGAAATAAGAGGTGAAGGCAGAGATGAAAGCTAAGAGAAAATGGGTGAATAAAATGATGCTATAATGTGCAGGTACTGATGAAGATGAGCGAAAAGAATAGTTAGCAAAGAAAAGCAGGGTGGCTGTGGTTCAGGACAAATCAAAGCTCCATGTTGCAGGCAGGATACTAGTGCCAGATATTTAATTCCACGCTGAGCACTGTAAAAATGTGAATTTGTTTTATAAAAGCTCTTTGAGGGATACATTCCTGTCCATTTACGAGGGAGGTGTAGCTACATTTTTTTTAACTACTGCCCACAAATATTCTCAGCTTCATTTGGAATGAATAAGTATCATGTTTTCCCGTCTGCACATTATCTCTAAATTAGCTTAATTGGTCACATTGCACTCTATCCTTATAACAATATTAAAATAAATTATTTATAAGGAAGCAGGAAAAAATCTTTCATTTGCAGCATATTAAATCATCAATTAATAACTGATTTATTGTTATGTTTAGGTGATATCCAAACATGGAACTACAGTGCCAGAAATATTCAGATTTTCTGTATTGATGACGGCTGGCAGATACTGTGGCCCTCAAAGCCGTGCCTGGATGTGCCTGAAATTCTTAAACGGTTGAATCAGATAAACTGAAATTTGCCAGTTCTGATGTGTTCACACTCAAAGCTTCAAGCCTTAAATATGGAAGTTGGTGGAACATCTTGACAGGTTAACCTACCATTTAAAGATTATGTGGCATGCTGGTTGTTCAGCAATGATACAAATAGTCAAATCCTTTTTTTAACAATAGAATGCAGATACAGCTTTGATACTCTGTGATTTTTTTTTATTTTTTATTTTTTTTCCAGTTGGAGCTGAGCTTTGTACAATAAAAATATATCATCAGTACGGCTTCGCAGTCTCCATTTGGTCAGGCAGTCCCAGAGTTGATAAAAATGTGAGCTGAACTCTCTTCAAACATAAATGTTAAATTGTTGATATTGGAAAACTTTACGAGTAGCTCACATATAATTCTTTAGTAATGATAATTTATTTTAGGGCTCCTCAATCAAATCCAAATAATTTTAAATCACATCACCCATTTCATCTCCAAGTCCAAATGTTTTCATTATTTTCTATTTTGCAGTTGAAAAATGTTACAGTCACATGCTAAACCCTTCAGCATTCCATAGGGTATATTTGTAGTTTTAATATAGAAATGATATATTTGTTGTTTATTATTGTTTTTTCAGTAATATGTCGTTTTGCTGTGCAAACTCAGCCCACAAATGAGGTTGTTCAGGTTTTAGGGGATTAGAGGAACCTGTCATGATTTACTCATCTTTGTAATGACAGTGGTTTGGCCAGCACCACCTTTCGGTTGCCCCCTGTGTGTGTGTGTGTGTCTGTGTGTTCCTGTCTAGCTATCTTTGTACTATATATGTGAGAACCAGCAGTTACTTGTAAGGACACACAACCCGGTCCTCACATTTTTGAAGGCATTTAAAGGCATTTTTGAGGCTCAAAATGTGGTTTTAGTGTCAGGGTTACAATTAGGTTATGGTAAGGGGCTAGGGAAACCATTGTGTCAATGAGGGTCCTCACTAAGATAGCTGAACGGGGTTGTGTGTGTGTGTGTTGGCATTTGTGCATGTGCATCATTGCAGGAGTACACACACAGGATTTGAGGAGATGCCATGTATGTACAAGTGTGCCAGTTTTCAGTTTTTCTGGGCAGGCACATCATTGCTCATACTCGTAACGTCCTACTATACATTGATAACAAATTTATTTGGATATTTTTTAACCTCAACTGAGGTTCTGTTTTGTAATCTGCAGTTGGGGGAAAAATGCAAATATGCATGTTTTGACAAATGTGTTATTTGCTTGGCTATTTATTAAGTAAGAGAGGCAAAGGGGATAACTGAAAAAGAATTGATTTAATGATATGGTTTATCGCTGCTCTGAAAATCATCATCATCTGGGTTAGAGCTCTAGGACTGGGCTCAAACCCATGTTATTACAAATAATACCACATAATGCATTCTCCATAAATGTCAGTTTCTCTGCTCCTTTCATTTTTCTACTCTTTCATTCACTTGCTGACTTTTCCCTGCTGCTGCACCTTCTTTTTCTTTCTCCCCTCCCCCTTAGCCCTCTCTCCCTCCTCTTTCCCTCCACTTCCCTCCCACTTTTCTCTCTCTCACTCTAAAGAGCACTCACTGCCTGCACTTCTCTTCATTTTCCACCCCAACATGTTGGCAGGAGGAGAAAGAGGAGGATGTTGCGCTCTACCCTTGGTGCGTTTTTGCCACCACTCCGGCCAGCGCACACTGCCTCTGACTCAGACTCAGCCTCAGCTTTCAGCCGTCCCCGCCTGAAAGACTTGAGAGGGGAGGTGGAGAAGGACTCGAAGACTAAGCTGGAGCTTAGGAGCTCTCACTTCAGGGTCCTCAACAGGAACAACAACAGCAGAAGAACAGAAAAGAGCAACTGCTCTTCATCTGTGGTGGAAACTACTCATACCTCAGCAGTGACCACCTCCTCTTTTTCCTCCCTCTCAGCTCCAAGATCCATGTGGCAGGAGGCTATAAGGAGAAAGCGGTATCTCCTTGACCGGACAGGGGAGTCTGAAGTAAACAGAAGAGGAGGTGGTGGTGAAGTGAAGAGAAACAAGTCCCCAGACTGGCTGTATGAATCATACTACTGTATGAGCCAGCAGCATCCTCTGATTGTCTTTTTGCTCCTCATAGTGATGGGTGCCTGCCTGGCTCTGCTGACTGTGTTCTTTGCTTCAGGACTGGTAAGCTGCTCATTCAAACCACACAGAAACAAACACACACATGCAGACTTATGTATGTGTAGGAAATGAATATTAAACAGTTGCATTTATTGAAGTGGATGCAAGCCACATACTGTATAATGTATATATTATATAATGTATAGTGTACATCCTATAAGTATTCATGCAAATGGGGTCACCGAAACTGACTACACACAGTTTGTTTGTACATACATGCTTAGGTTGTCACAGCATGTCTTTATTGCAAAACTAATGTGAGGAGAAGGGTGAGATAAAGGTGAGAGGGGATGCAAGGGTCTTAGTTATTTTATGAGCTCATAGCTGCAGAAAGATCTGTTTCCTTTTTTCACTATTTTCATGGAGTATGTTTTCCGGAAAAATCAGAAAATTCATAAAGTGAAAAAAGGCTCTAAAATAGCACAATATAAGTGCTTATGGTCAATGGCTCTGCTTCCATTTTAGACTGTCCTTCATTAGCTTCCTACTTTCATACTGTTATATAACTAAGAAAACAAGAACTCTTTAGACATTGGCCGAATCTAGAAAAGTGTCTCTCTCCTACTGTCTCTGCTGCATCTGTTGTTTTGAAGTGATCAGTCTAAAACATACAAAGACACAGTATTGCATAGAAAGCACTGGCTCACAGAGCACATATCACATAATATTTAGAAAATCTTGCATAGTAACCCGATGAGCTCACTAACATGTGGTTGGAAAGTCAGCTGTTGCAGTTCCTTGCATGGACAATCAGTTAGAACGAAACAAAATCATAAATGTCTGATTAGGTAACAAATGACACATCAAAAAGGCTGAAATCTTATGAGCGAGCATATCATAATCTGGAAACTTTCAAATTTTTAGTTAAGAATGTTTTAATAATGTTACATACATTTTTAATTGTTGCATATTATAATGTTAGTGGTATCCACGGGGTGGGATGAGGTGAATGTGCGTCCTAAAATGACAAAAATGATCTTTTTTTTTTTTTTCAAAAATTAGTTTTTATTCAACTGTGAGTAGATATTGAAGCATGTAGATATTGTGCAGTTCACATATCATCACTATATTATTATAGTATAGTACTATTTTATAGTTCAGGTGTTAGGACCAGGTTGAAACCAGGTGGTAGCTTTCAGTGGGGGCTCATACCTAATTACTGAAACAATAACATTAGCAGATTACCAAGATTCAGCACTATCAACTAAGACTGGCTGACACTGCAGCATGGTGTAAAGGTTCAACCAGCTCTGATGGGATGATAATGGCTCTGCCTTTACGTTATTAAAAAGACCTGTGCTCATACTGCTTTTCTTACTGTGCTAGAGTTACAGCAAAAACACAGTCACTCTTTTCTCAACTTTTACTGTACTCCAGTACAGTTAAAAGCAAAAAAA